AACAAAGCACTTGGACAGCGATGTCCAAACCAGGCACATTTTACAATGCTTAAAAATGATTTGCATCTATTATTAGCACTTGGATTTCAGTTCATATCATTGCCTTATTTAATATTATATTGTATGAGTGCTACTTCCAACCTATAGTTTCCACCTAAATTCAGTGAGGTGAGAACCAATCTTTAAATAATCTGTTTCCATCCATCAGCGCTACAGTAAAACAACATAGGTACTTCTGCAGTCAGCATCCTGGAAAGAGAAAAACATGTTTAACTTTTTGGTTTTTAACTATATTGACTATATTTCTTTCCACAATGATTAATATGTTTCAAATGAAAACTAGTTCAATTGCAGCATGATGTATACAGTCTGCAGTGAGCATCTCATCCCCGTCTTCTCCGTGGTTTGTAGCTAACGCTGAAAGACGCTGCCATTTTTATCACTTTGCCAGCTGAGTTTGAAATCAGCCACCCCTTGATCTCTCAGGATGGTCTCCAACTTAAAAATAAAAGACATTATAGAAGAAAATAGCTGTTTGTGTAACAAACAGGTAATAATCACGACTAAATGTTTTTAAATCATGTTAAATGTGAAATTTCTTTTTGTTTTAGAACAAAATAAAGAACTTTTGCTTACTTTTATAATTTTTTTTGTACCTAATTCTTAGTAAAGAGACCAGGAACCTTGAATCTACGTTTGTACCTTCATTAGGAGTTGACTGGAGGCAGTGGAGTCCATGAGATCCACATCAGACTTTACCTTCATCCTTAAGACCATCTTTTTTACTTTGGCATCTGTAGAAGACAAATACAGAACTACATCAGTTATTATTGTGATTTTTATTATTTTTAACCCATGGTCTGAAGCTTGAATGAAAACAACAGTTGTATCACGTTTCTAGGAACTGATTTATTACTTGTGTATTTCAGGAACTTACCTCCTTGACAGATAAATGTTGCTTTCTTGTTACAGTCAGCTGGTATCCAGCGTCCCGTCTGTGATCCTTCCACAGAAACACAGTTTCCACGATAACTTCCGCCTCTTTTCCAGTACCTGAAGGAGGTCTTTGTTCCATCTGACCAAACCCAAGCATCTTTAAACAGACCAATCCACGCCTTGTTGGTAACTGCGGCAATCGCTGCATTTTCCTTGTCTGTAAGCACACATGCCAGATCAGTGTGCTTCTGTCTGCACAGATCTTGACTGCTCTGCCAGGTTTGTTCCTGTGTGTAAACCACATACTTCTTGCTGCCATCCTGCTGAACTAGAGACACACAAGGGGAAAGGAGTAAAAAGAAGTTAGACTTATTTTTTCTGCCAAGAAAAATAGTCAGGTAAGTGATTTAGAGCCAAATTACTAACAGCAGAGCCATGATGTTTCTGGTCATAAACACTTGGACCTGTTGTCCATATATGTGGACATCACATTTTGGGGTTGTCTAGACTAAAATCTTGTTGTTTTTTTTTATACAAGGGCCTGTTATCCACTTACGAGGACATTATACTGCCACAGTTTTATCAAACTTTAAAATGAATCAGGCCCTTGAAGAGCAAAATCAGGTTAAAAGATAATTCTTTGTTTTTACATTCATCAAGTCCCAATCAGCCCAAATAGCAAGGAGAAATTAAAAATGCATGCCATGAAAGAGTTCAGGTCTTAGGAGGTTAAAATATAAAGCGCCTTGAAGCAACTTTTTTTTAATGATTTGTTGCTATATAAATTAAATTAAATTTAACTGAAGTACAACTTAGGCTTGACCTGTATTATTTTGGTCAGTAGATCATTTGCTCTTTCATTAAGCTGTTTGTCTACTGTAAGAGCTTAAAGGCTAGTTCACTGGTTCTGGTAAAAGGGGCAGAAGAGGCCAGTGTTTCCTGGCAGGGCTAGATGGTCACTGTGTGTAGGTCCTGGCTGCTATACAAGTGGATAACGCTGTGGATATAAAGAGGAGAAATATACCTGCGCGTGCTGTTGTTGCGTATGTTCGAGCGAGGAGGATCTGTACAGGATTATATTCTAACAGCATGATCTTTCAAATTGAGCTCATAGATTACTGTTAAAGCATGTCAATCATAGGACGTAAATGTGAGGATAATTGCTGATCAGCGTGCGGCTCTTGCCTCGTCGGTATAGCCGATCTCAAGTGTCGCTTAGATAGTTGTGTGCGTGAAAGTATGTCCATACCCTCATAATCTGAGTATATGTATACATCGTATATAATTCTGTTCATGCTTCTATAAGATCTCACTTGCGCAGATAGTACTTAAGCACGATAAGTTCATTATAACTGCATCTCCTTGTGGAATGAAAAGTGACCTGGAGTACGTTGCCCGGTCTTTAGTCTTACAAGGAAATGCCGTGTGATGGCTCAGGGACCTCTTGTAACTAATCTAAAAGAGATGAGTGGAAAAGGAGCAAGCTGTGAGTAGCACCGTGTCCATTATAGTTATGCGGCATACTAATTCTAGGCACTGGTTTGCTCAGGCCATTATTTGTTTGGAAGAGTAGTATCTGTTCATTATACAGCGAGATAACTAAACTTGCTGAGTATCATATTTGTGTCCTGAGCAGATGCCTTTAAAAATACTCTATTTATATTCTAATATCATTCATTTATGTGGCGCATTGTTTGCTAGTGTACCTAGGAATCTCACAAGATAGACCGCCTCTCCATAAGATAGTCAACGCACACGATAGCGCTGAGATGGAACCTGAGGAGAAAATACAGACCTACCCAGAGAACAGCCAGAGTTGGTGGGATATTTTACATCCTTTTGGAAACATGGCTGTTGAGTTACTTCAGTCTGGACCACAACTGTTCGAATCAGCACAGTGAGTTCTCATAATCTCACCGCTAGCAAATTATCATTTTGTGTGCTAGTCACTCGGTCACGTTTTCATTTTTGTTTTTAAATATTATATAGATTAAATTGATTATCATCAATAAAAATTTCATACTAAAATTATGGATCACTCACAACAGTTTCAACTGTAATTGCAATTTACTCACTTTCATAACACACATAAGCTCTGGTTAAGTCACATGGAATATCATTCCAGAGGCCGTCATCTTGTATCTCTGCACACGACTCTTTCCCATTATAGTTGTCTGGTTGATCAAGGCTCCATTTGGTGAAGTCTGCTCTGCCACTCCCATCAGACCACAGCCACCTGTCGTTCTGTCCGTTGTAAAGTCCGATCCATGTGGCGGTCTTGTGACTGTCCAGTGTACTGACCAGCTGGTTTTCTTCATCCATGTTGTTTATGGTTGCCAGGTCAGTGTATTTTAATCTGCAGAAGCTCTGAGCCTCATACCAGGTTAGGGATTCATTGATAAAGTGGAACTGCACTAAAACACAAGATTATCCAGTCTTACACACAGACGCCAAGAAATAATTCCCAATTTGTTCCAATGACTTTATGTCATCATGGTCTTATTAAATAATTTTTTTTCTGAAAACATTTTCGAGTGTTGCCATATTTGTGCCAACGCAACTTTGAGAGATGAAGATAATGATGTAACGGCTTACATCTCCCTGCAGGTGACCAGTCATAGGTTACATCACCACCATTATGCTTACAGTTGCCAATTAACCCATATAGAGACACACCTACCATTCATGCTTAAGTTGGCCAATTTTGAAACACCAGCTAAAACACTATGTATGTCTGTGGATTGTGGGAGAAATCCAGAGTACCCAAATACAGTACACACAAGCACAAGGTCAAACATGAACACAAATTTTCATATAACAGAGAGTCCCCAAGTGCCTGGGGATTCAAATCCAAAAACCTCTTGACGTGAAGCAATAGTAGTAACTGCTGTCTGCTTATCTAATCAGCCAATCACGTGTGTGTATCTCAATGCATTTAGACATGGCGAAATGGTCAAAATGACTGGCTGAAGTTCAACCTGAACATCAGAAAGAAGAAAAGGGGGATTATGTAACTTTGAATTTTGCATGGTTGTTGATGCCACGTATTTCAGAAGCTGCTGATCTACTGAGATTGTCCCAAAGAACCATCTCTACTGTTTAACAGAGAATGATTAAAAAAAGAAAACAAAATTCAGTGGGACAAAGTTTTCTGCTGGGAAAATGCTTTGTTGATATGAGAGTTCAGAAGACAAAGGCCAGACTGCCCACAAAAACATTGAATGCTGAATACTAACCTGAAATACATGTATACTAAAATATTAACTGTATCAATGATTGAAAAATGCAAAATGCAGATGTAAAAATAAAAAGCAAACAAAAATCACCATCACACCATTCCCGCACTTCAGGGGGGCTGATACCACTGCATAGGGCGAACGGGGTCACCTGGGCAGTGGTCTGCGGGTAACAATAGGGAACTTCACTCACCCTCACCTAGTGATTTGATTACATTACTTCCAGTGATCTCGGGAGAGCTCGGGAAACAAACACGGGAGACATAACTCCACAGAAAGCCCCCCGAGGTGGATGCCACTTCTCTGTGATGTAACCGTGCCACGTCTTCCAGTCAACAATCGGCGCTAGGGTGTGGGTAAGAATGACATGTGCTACCTGTTTACTGCCTGTAACTGCCACGGTAGACAAAACATAGAACTTCCAGCAAAATGAATAATACTTGCTGTCATCCACTGAATGCACAAATATGTCATATGTTTGGTTATGTATAATAAGGTGTACTATAAAGTTACAGAAGCAGTAGAAGCTGGCTAAATTATTTTAAAAGCAAAATAGGTAAACTTCCATCCCAATGACACAACTATAATTCTCCGTTGATATTAATGATGCCAATTCATTGGACAACTTTAACATTTCCATAAAAGAAAAATATAGAAACAGACATTATATAATTTTTTCTATAGTTATGGTATTAAGGCTTTGGTATTATCATTATTATCTGCCTGAGTGCAAACTATCATATCAATTCTGTCGTCCACTCATGCCTGCTTGTTTGTTTCCCAGGTTGTTTCCCAAGATGCTTTTTTTGACAGGTCATTTAAATATACGAATTGCAATTGATTCATTTATTCTTGGATGAATTTTAAAAAAGTGATTTTGAGTTCACTAAATTTCTTCTTCATATACAAGATTTTGTATATGTAGACAAATTAGTCTCGAAACAAGAAATACACAAGCACTTTTTTCAATATACCAACTTTGAAATAAAGGCATACAGATTGGTTTTACTAAATTATATAAAAAATGATACATAGAGTTAAACCAGTGCCTGATATGTTCCACTGTATCTGGTGTAGTTTATCTATGCACCTACTGTAGATCTGAAGGTCTATTTACTTGTACATTATGCAAAGCAGTTTTGGAGAAACTGAAATGTATTTGGTTAAAAGTGCGTCATAGGAGATTTAAAGAACCACTGACAGTCATCAGGTAAGTCTAAGTGGAATGTAAGACATTAAGAAAATGTTACTACTATTTGGCTGAGGGTAATTGTACATTCAATTATACATTCAAAAGTCATTAGGATTCTTAAACCTGCTATATAAAGTTTACATACACAATGCTCAGACCACCTGTAATGCAACAAAAGTCCATTTCTATAAAAATGCCTTTAAAATGTATATACTCAATGCTCAGTATAATAGATATATGCATTAGCGGTTCGCTCGCTAACACGCTAATGAGCTAAAGGTGCTAACGCATTGACACTGTGCAGCCCCATGCACGGGGCAATCTGCGCTAACCCCTTAACGGAGATTTACCATTAATGTCATTTTAATGAGATTAATGCTGACAACACTAATGCATACATAACTTGGATTTAAGTCTTTAAGTCCTTTGACAAACCAAGTACACCCTATGATTTAA